TCATGGAGCCTCACAGGAGAAAAAGGTACAGAGGAAAAGTTGTAGTGAAAAGGAACTCAAGATAAAAAGAACCAATATCTAACTTTTCTTAAATCGTGTCTCTTAAAAAAATGCTAACAATTCCATTTTAAATTAAAAAATTAATACATCCTATTTTTTCATTAAAACATGGCAGTACTATTCCCAAAGCATTCTAAAACTTTACAATAAAATCAAGGAACTCCTACTACTAAAAGATTAAACTGAAAAACTCAACCACTATAAACTCCCTATCAAGAGTCACTGCCATGGCGGCGCACGCCTTTAATCCCAGCACTCGGGAGGCAGAGGCAGGCGGATCTCTGTGAGTTCGAGGCCAGCCTGGTCTACAAGAGCTAGTTCCAGGACAGGCTCCAAAGCTACAGAGAAACCCTGTCTCGAAAAACCAGAAAAAAAAAAGTCATGCCGGGCGGTGGTGGCGCACGCCTTTAATCCCAGCACTCGGGAGGCAGAGGCAGGCGGATCTCTGTGAGTTCGAGGCCAGCCTGGTCTACAAGAGCTAGTTCCAGGACAGGAACCAAAAGCTACGGAGAAACCCTGTCTCGAAAAAAAAAAAAAAAAAAAGTCACTACCAAAGAAAATGGTATACCAAACTTTGACCCAATCCAAACAAGGCTGTACTGGGCTCCATTATCCAAAACCTCAAAGTGATCAACTATCCTAGGAATGGGCATCATCTCCAAGGGAACCAATCGGCATGCCTGTTTGGGCTGCAGTCTACTAGTACAAATAATTTAAATATTTCTGCTTCTCATGAAAGACCTGTTTCATGTTTGGTAAGTGAAGATGTGTAGGAGGAATCCTCATGTATACATTAGTATTTCAGTAATCATTCAATACCATCTGATATCTCTATACAAAAGGCTTTCACATTCATTCTCTCATTTATATAAGATATAAGCTATATACATTTTAAAAGGGTAAGCCATTATTTTTTAAAAAAAAAATCCTGCTGGATGCTTTTAATCCCAGCACTCAGGAGGCAGAGGCAGGAAGATCTGAGTTTGAGGCCAGCCTGATCTACAGAGCAAGTTCCAGGACAGTCAGGGTTACACAGAGAAACCCTGTCTTGGGAAGAAAAAAAATTCCTTGGGCTAGGGAGGTTTACTACTTCAGTGGTAGAACACATGCCTAGCAAGGGCAAAGCCTTGGGTTCGACCTCAGAACTACAAAAATATATAATACCAAATATCAAAATAACGTATTTGTGTACTTCCATCATTAGGGGTATAACAAAAAACACGTTTCTCCTCTGCAAGAGAGGAGAAATGTGTTCCAGTAATCACTACAGAAACAAAAATGCCAAATTACAGAGAGTGAAACGGTTCATGTTTTCTCGGGAAGGGGTGTACTGAAGCTCAACTTAGGGCTAACACAAGCTACCTATTTTCTCTGCTATCCAGGAGAAGATACTTTTAAGTTGCTTACCTTTAGGAAATCTGTCTGCATCACAGATAACCTAAAAACCAGTACTCCCTTTGTATATAGTAAAACTATCCTATCATACTAGAGTAGATGAGTCTAACTTAGAAATCTTAATTTTAATAAACTTCAAGGGCATATACAACCTTTTAAAAATAATTTTTGTATGATATATATATATATATATATATATATGAGTGTTTGTTTGAATATTAATTATATGTCTGTTGCCTTCAACGGCCAGGAGAGGGCTTTATTTAGACCCCCTGGAACTGGAGTTATACATGGCTGTAAGCTGCCATGTGGGTGCTGGGAACCAAAGCTTCATTCTCAGTAAGAGCAACTAACGCTCTTCTCTCTCCAGCCTGGCATATACCAATTTTTAACTAGTGAATTAGAGATGACCAGTGAAGACTCACCTAAAATTCTGTGGTAAGCTAACTAAAATGACCTCTTCCTATGTGCTTGAAATAGTCGTGAGCATCATCCCTCAGGTGTATCTGCCAATGATGTACTTACTTAGCCTTGCTCTGAAAGCAGAGACTCGATCTGATTCTTATCTGTCTGAATACCAACTTAAGGCAAAAAAGAATTAGGAAAACAGTATTTTTGCCTATTAGTTATGCATTCTAAAACAGAACAACCACTTTTTAAAATAAAAAGCACATAAAAAAAAACCCTACTATCAATCTGGAAATACCCATTCTACAGTGCAAGCCAAGCATATCTAAACTTATACGCATTATTTTTCTTTTGAGACAAGGTCCTTCAATCTCCCTACATTGAAAGGATGACCCTCCTTCTTCCACTTCTCAATACAAAACCGCAGGTGCCACCCCTCCCCCACAGCTTATACAATGCTGGGGATCAAACCCAGAACTTTGTGCAGGTTAGGTAAGCTCTCTACCAACTAAACGATGTATGTATCCAGACCCATCATGCGTATCTCTGACAACCTAAGAAAGTTCCAGAATGTTTTAGTTTCTACAAAGAATAAGCTTAGTTCTAGGATAAACTCAGTGCTCTAAGAACACTTACCCCACTCATTCCTAGAATCTAAATATAGCTAACTATGCAAATTAAATATTAGCTATGCAAATAAACAACTTGTTGGTCATTACTAATGTAATTTCTGTTATTTAGAATAAGTTTCTACATTTCCAACAAGTGTCTATTTTCAGATTTCTTTTTATTCTAATCCAAAACCAATACTTTGACTACATAAATCATATCAAATTACATTGGTCACACTAAATATAATTTCCTTCATATAGAAGCTTAAAATATCCAGCACAGTCTTTGAGCTAAACAAAAGACTGATTTGCCGTTTTAAAATGAGTTTCCTCATCAATTTGGTTTGTCTGACAACCAACAACTAAAATTCCCTGAATACCCAAACACACTGTCCAACAGGACTATCTTCCCATGTAGGTACTAGCTCCTCCTACCAGGCACCAGTTAGATACACACCAGATACAAAAGACAAAAGTTCAAGTCACTTCCCTCACAGATCCTTAAAACCTACCTCTCCATGTTTAGAGGAGATTTTAAAACTGCAGTAATTACATTTTTAAAACTGCTTAAGCGCTGTTAAATACAAACCCTAATTTTTTTTTCTAAAAGGTTTGATGAAATTTTCTTAAATTCCCCTAACTTCCTTCAATTCACATAAAACTGCAAACATGGCACAAAAAACCTCCAGCAGGGCTGGAGAGATGGCTCAGTGGTTAAGAGCACTTACTGCTCTTCCAAAGGTCCTGAGTTCAATTCCCAGCAACCACATGGTGGCTCACAACCATCTGTAATGAGGTCTGGTGCCCTCTTCTGGCCTGCAGGTATACACACAGACAGAATATTGTATACATAATAAAGTAAATAAATGTTTAAAAAAAAAAAAAAACCTCCAGCAAACTCTGAGAAAAAAAAAACAACTAAAATATGGAAGACTCTCATCCCTTCCCAAAATCAAATAAAAAATATATCTATATTACTATATCCCAAGTGAAAGACAGTTTCAATTATTTCAGTAAATTTATCTTTTCAATAGAAACTCAGCCATGTTTCTCGACGGGTTTTCACCCAAGCACAGAACAGGTATTCTAAGAACACTTGTCAGGAGTAAGGGCCAGGGCAAGAGTCCCTGGCAGTAACAGGGCCAGTCAGACATGGAAGGGTAGTGGCCCTAATTAGCTAGGGCAAGAAAGAAGTATCAGAAGAAACATCCTTCATTTTCTAATACAGCCCTCTGAGCAGGAACTCCGGCACCGCACAAGCAGGGCCAGAGCAAGTTTCACACTCTGAAGTAATGGCATCAGGTCAATCCTGCTTTCACCATTAACACTGCACCTGAATAAAACTTATCTGGTGGCCGCTGGCGAGGAGTCTCAGTGCAAACTTTTGGAACCGCAGTTGAGTAAGGAAGGAAAGGTCTAAATTTAATTCTCTCCATGTTGAGCTTCAGCAGCAAACTACTGCCTTAAAAGACACTGAAGTTCAAGAGCTCAAGAACAGAACACCCAATATTAAATTATAATGTAAGCCTACCTAACTCTGCTGTGAACAACCTTGAGATTTAATAAACTTTCCTCCGTAAATAGAAAGTGATACTTCAAAGGAGAAAAATAGTGGAAAACTTAAAATGTGATCAATCTTGTCATAAGAATTTATTAAATAAAATTATACATGAAATACAGCTCCAGAGTAACTCTCAATACATTTTAAACAGTGCTAGGTATATTACATACTAATTTTAAACCAAGTAGAAAAATATATAAAATAACCACATCAAGGTTTAACACTTCAAACCTCGTCTTTCATTCAGGCATAAGATAATTAGTTATCTTAGCCTAGCAGATAGCGCTGTAGAAAAAGCTTAAGATCACTTTCCCAATAGCTTGTTATAGCAATAGTTTGTTAATCTGAAATAACCTTTATTCTGCTCCTGTGTCACAACTTTTCAAAAGCATTCCTTTCTTTTGTATTAAAAACAAAATCCTGAGCCCAGCAGTGGTGGCGCATGCCTTTAATCCCAGCACTCTCTGTGAGTTCGAAGCCAGTCTGATCTATAGAGTTCCAGGACAGCCAGAAATCCTGTCTGGAAAAAACAAAAAACCTAAATCCTGGTTACTCGTACCAAATTACTCAAATATCTTAATTTGACTTGAGTACAGACCAATCCTCACCAAACCAGTTCTAGCCAGCTGTACCATTTGTGAATGAAGACAACACAACACCTAAGTGCAAGAGTCCTTGGTGACAGGTTCAGTCAATTTGCAGGATGTGTGAAAGATTGGCCAAGAGAAACCACAACACCTCCAGGCTGAGAAGTCATTTGAAACTCAGAGGCTCTTTCTCTTACCTGTAAAATGGGAATGATCCTAGTTCTCTCAGATGAGATTATACAGGAAAAAACATTACGGGTCAAAACTTCACAAACATGAGTTAAGTCGAAGCACAGCTTCATAATACAATGCTATAGACACAGAACTAAGAAACCATTACCACTATTCAAAAATCGCTACTTAAAAAAAGAAACTTGCCTTTGATTGGGTTCTCTTTCCATTTCTCATGCTAAACTTCTCTTTCATTTCTTCTAAAATTATCTTCAGTTTTTTTTCTTCGGGTGTTCCTAGATATTTTTGGTTCACATGAAGGTAACAGTGCCACTTGGCTGACTCGAAGCCCCAGTGGCAAGTTCTCTTGTCAGGTGACCGATGAGAATGCATGACAAATGTCTGGGGTGCAAACATTCCACAGCACTCCAGACACTGGATACAGGGAGCATCAGGCTGAACATAGAACTGGGGTGCAAAGAGACCCTGACATTTGCCCAAGCATTCATGCTCTACTTCAAAGGCACTGCCAGCTTCCTTTAACTGGGCCAAAGAGTTTTTAGCAGGAAGTATGCTACCATTTTGAGGAAAGGTCCTCGGCCGCAGTAAGGCGTTGCAGAGTCTTTGCGCATCAGTCAACGTGATCAGCCCACAGGATGGGGCATTGAAGGGAAGGATTCCTAGGACTTTTAAGATGTGAAGCTGGTCTGAAGTACAACGTGAACAATATATGTAGAGCTCATCACACACTGTGTTTATTTGCTGGAGTGAAAATTCCCGGAGAACAGAATTTAAGACTTGGGGCAAACAGAGTCTCTTTTCTCCTCCAACTTGAAAACAAGAAATAGACTCCCCTTCCAAAACAGTCTGAGTGAGCTCTGTGGAGCTATCAGAAGGGATGAGAAGAGGGCCAGGAAGAACCTGAGGAGATGGAAGAGGCAGGAACACAGTCGGCGACATGCTTTCTTGGGAATAGCGAGCGGAAAATGCTGCTGGTCCACCCAAAGAGCTCTGACTACTCAGATGGAACTGTGCTAGTGTGTGCTTCAGACTGGGGTTTAAATTTAAAGTTTCAGGCATGGAAGTACAGTTTCGCTTGGCAAGCTCTCCATCGGTCTCCACCGATGCATCTCCATAGTCATCCAAATGCTCCTTCTTCACCTTGGTTAGCGCTTTTCCATTGGCATGAATGTCTGTCATCATTTTTTTCACGGGAGGGCTGCCATCATCCTCCATTCTGTTCAGTTTTTTATTTGAACCCTGAACTAAGGAGAAACTGGACTGTAGGTTTTCCATGACTACACTGGTGTTTTAAATAATTAAGTCTGCAATTGGCATGTTGTATACAGTTGCTAATTTGAAAAGAAAAGGATAATGTATACAAAAATTATGACTCCCTAGAAAATGTTTAGTTTCCAAAGATGAATTTCTTGCTCAATAAATTTGTGCAAATTGGTTTTGGTTTAGTTATACCTCAGGATAACAGAAAATACTACAAAATTTCTGATTTGCTTCTAATAAATCATAAGCAGACTTCTGAGAAAAATCTTGTTTTCTTGATTTCTTCGGATATTTGTGTTAAAATAAGACTAATTTCTCAATTCAATTTGCCTGAAGTTCGGTGCAATGGCTGCATTTGGTGGCTCTGTCTTCGAAGGGAAGCATGTGGCAAAGTTCTGCAATTACTATATACTAAAACTACACCCAAACATGAGTTACAATGATGCAATGGATTTCATTTTTGCCAAGGGCACCAAAAAAGAAGTGGGGGGGGGGGGGGGGTAACTTCACTGAAAATGGTGGTCCACTGCTCTGTGGTAAAGTCTAAACCTCTATACCAGTAACAGCCTGACTCCACCTGAACTTCTACAATTAAAATATATATATATATACTTAAAAGAAAAAACCCTGCCCGGTTATCTTCAAGGATTACAGTTCACTCTTCGTTTAATTGACCTAGAAGAGGAGAAAAGGGTGGGGAAGAGTTACAATTGAATTCGCTCCAGAGGCCAAAGGGTCAATTTAAAACCAGTTTCTCAATCTTAAACTCAGTTCACTTTACCAAAGGTAACACTCGAGTGACATTTTTCCACCTAACACCAGTCATCTAAAAGAAACTTCATTTAAGTAGGAAGCAGCCCAGAAGGTGGATAATAGCAGCATTAAATACTATCCCTCCAAATGAGGAAGAGTACACATTTAGAATACAATAAACAAAACTCAGTACCAGAGGCTTCCCAACTATGTCATTTTAATTAAAAAATAATCTTTTATCTCATTTTTAAAAGCCTGTATTTTCAGCTCTCATAAAGAACCAGATACTTGTTAATATGCCTACCATATGTAACTAAGTTAGTCTCAAGTGGATTAATTCATCTAGTCAATATAAACTACCTTTCTGAAATGAAGGGGGGAAAATTAAGCTTTCCCTTTACAAGGTTACCGAATTTGCTTAATAGAAGCCAAAAGCTGTTAAGACTCCACGCCTGGAAATCTCCATCCTAGAGCAAGACTAATCCGGGACAAAAAAGCACAAGGCAGACAGACCTCACAAAGAATGCAAATGGAGGCAGAGTGAGGGGAAAAAAGAGTCTTCCTCCACTTCCCTCCGGGGAGAAAGACCCAATAGCAGCCGATAAACGAAAACCTTGCCTTTCTAAACTCCCAGCAATTTATGTTAACACAAACCCAAAGGGTTACCGCCGAAAGCCACCTAGCCGCCGTGCCGTGACTTTCGCCACTACAGGGACACCTCAGCCCAAGGCGAGCCAAGGTAAAGGGCAGGAGGCATGACCTAGCCCAGGTGCGCCCCCAGAGCCGTGCGCCCACGCAGACACCCACCCATCTTCGACAGAAGGAGGAAGGACAGAAAAGCAGGGGACTCCGGACGTCTGGTGAGGTGAGAGGGGGCAGAGGGAAGTAGAGGGAGGAGTCCTCCCAACCCCCACCGAGACTGGGATCACCCCAAGTGCCCTCCCCACATCGCCCCACCGCGGGGGCCGCCGATGGAAATCCCCCACGCAGCCCGTCCGCGGGAAGTTCTCCGGGGTTACCTCGGCGCCCTGGGGCTGCGCCACCCCCCTCACCTACCCCGAGCCGTGGCACCCAGGGGGGCGCGGGCAGGTTGGGCGCCAAGCCCGGAAGCCCGCAAGCTCGCGTCTCCGGACGCTCAGAGCTGGAGCCAGCCCGGGGCATCCCCGCCGAGCGCAGACGGCAGGAGGATGGCGGCGAAGACCGGCGTCCAGGTCTCCCGGGTCCCGACCGCTCGGGTCAAGTGCAGCGCCATCCCCTGCCAGCCGACCCGTCCAGGGATCCGCGAGGTCTGTACCCCCGTGGGACCCCCGCCGCGCGCCCCGTGCCCACGACCCTGCCCGGGACCCCACGCATACCGGACCCTCCACCCCGGCCCTCCGCGACCCGGGAAGCTCCACGGGTTCTGAGGCCTCCCCATCACCCCCGCCGCCACCTCAGCGTCCCCAAAAGCCGCACGCCCCTCACGTCCCCTCGCGACCTGCGGCCGCACCTGTGCCCGCCGTCGCCGCCGCTCGCCGCCTTCGCTGTGCCGGCGCCGCTCCGAACCCCACACACAGCGCTACACACAGCCTCTGACGTCACCCGGCCCTCGGCCCGCCCACGTCACTGCGGAGACACGGCTTCCCGCAGACGCCGCCGCCGTCTCCGGCCGCCCGGGGGACAGCGAGGGCGGCGGGCGGAGGAGGGGAGGGAACGAAGCCAGCGGCGCCGCGCGGCCCCGCGCCAGCCAGTCCCTCGGGCGCGCGCGCCGTCTGGCCTATTGTGGCTCCTCGCGGGCTGCGCGCTCACGTCTCTCCGCCCCCCCTCCCGGGGCGCGCGCCTGGCGCCTCCGCCGCGCACGCGCGTGCGCCTGCTCTCCCCCGCCCCCTCCCCCGCGCGTGCCCCGCGCTGCTGGCCCGGCGCGCCGTCTGGGCGGCTGGCGCACGGCGCTGTCTGCGGTGCCCGGCGCAGACAGGATGTTCCCTCGGCCCCACCCCCGCCGCCCTCCTTCCTTCCTCGAGTCGCCCAGCCGGCTGTCTGGGGCCGCCCCCGCCACGCCCGCCGCCGTGTGGAGACGGGCCAGACCCGGGGGCGCCCTGGCTGCTGGGCCGCCGTTGTGGCGGGCGGGGGGGAGGGGGCAGGGCGCGGCAGGCTGCACTGTGCGCGACCCTGGCAGCTGGCGGCGCCCGGGGTCAGGCTCGGCCACCCTCCCAACCCCCCCTCCGGGCCGCAGCTGGCCGCCCGGCCCCGCCCCGGAGGTGGCCTGCGGGCGGCTCCCCGCCGCGACCCCTGGGGTGAGCCGGCCACGCAGACGCCCCCGCTCGGAGCCGGCGACCCCCGCGCCACCCCCTCCCCCCCGACCTGGCGCGCAGACGTCGCGGGGCCCCTCGCCCCCGAGGGGCCTCCCGCGGCGGCCGCCCTGCCAGCTGCCGGCGCTGAGCCCCGCCTGGTCGCGCTGGGGTGGCCTCGCCCGGTCGCCTGGCGGCCGCCATCCTCAAAGACACCACGGTTTCCGCACCGCCGAGACAGACCTGACTGCCCCAGCTGCTCTCGCCCTCCACAGTGACCCGTTCTAATTCACTGAGCGCGTCGATTGGGGTTTTCAGGTTTTTCTTTTTCTTTTCCAGAGACGATAGGAGGAGAACGATAAACCACTTTGGAGGTTTCGGCTGCCACCTCGGGCGGGCGGGCGGCAGGGGGTGGGTGGGGGGACTTCCTAGCCAACGTACCCAGGGTAGTCTGTTCGAATATTCGACTCTGTGGAGCTGGGCCGTCACATTTCGAAACACCAAGAAATCCCCTTTTCTCCACCCCACCGCAGGACCAGGAACTGAAATAGCGCAGCGAGTAGCACTGCGCAGACTTAGGGAACTCAAGCTTCGGCGGCCGCGCTCTTCCCCCAACCCCCTTTTTTCTTTTTTTTTCCGACCAGTTTTTTATTTTTACAGCTTCGGGGTTACTCATGTTTAGGTCCACATTTGCAGTTGTCCAATTGGGAGTATTTGGGGGCTCAAAGATTTTTCTCCCACCCCCCCCCAATAATCTAACAAATGTTCGCCTCATCACCGCCCCCGCCCCAGCTCCTGTCGGCCCCCATCTTCGTGCTCTCAGGTCATGCCCCTCTCCCACCTCCTACCCTCCGCTCCTTGACTGCTTGCCTGTGTGAACATGAATAATTCCACAGCACTTCCCATCTGTTATTGCCATAGAGACAGAAGCTCAGCAAAGATAATGATGTTCTGTGCAGAGCCGGTGGGGGGAGAGCAGCATCTGCGAGTCTAGGGGAATAGATGCCCTAACCGCCGGAATATTCAGAGGTCTGCCTGGACAGTCCTGAGACTAAGCATCTGGTCACCTTGCACTTGGCTCTGTATCGGGCCAGAAGAAACAAACTTAGAAAACAAGATAACTGAGAGGTGTGTGTGTGTCTGTTAAGCGATTCTGAAACTTCAATTATTTAGTAATCCTCTTACCACCTATAAAAGTTATTCCTTGCTACCATGGCCAAAGGCCTAAGAAACAAAATTAATTGGACAATACATAAACCTTTTAGAAAACCAAATACATTTTTTTCTTCTGTTCTGCTCTCTCCAGGAATCTATTTTTGAGAAAAGGAGCTTTTGTGTCTGATTTTAGGTATGTAACAGTTGAGAAACTAGTCATAGCTATGTGGCTAGAACCATCCAAAACCAAGCTTTGGGGGCATTTGCAACATTATTCTTCAATTACAAAATAAATTTCCCTTGCCCTTGAATTCCCAGCTTGGAATACAAGTGAACCTAAGCAGAGCCAGTCTGCATGACACTGCTGCAGACCGGTAGGCTTCTTCTAGACCACGTCTTTAAGACCACTTTAGGGTTCTCAGGATTATCAATAAAATGTACGAACGTAAAATTAGGGCTGTGGATGCAGCCTAGTTGATAGAGTGCTTGCCTGGCACACATCGAGTCTTGGGTTGAACCATAGCACTGCACAAACAGGTAATCCCAGCGTTCAGGAGGTGGAGGCAAGAGGATCAGAAGTTCAAAGTCATCCTCTGCTACATAGAAAGAGGCTAGTCTACACTACAAAGAGACCATATCTCCTGAAAACAAATGATGATGGTTCATTATTCCACAAAAAGATCTGGACAGAGAAAATACAGGCCTTGTGGGAAAATCATGGGGGTTGGGGAGAGAGGAAAGACAGAGAAGGCAGTACCCTGGAGCTCAGCCACCCAGCCTAACTGGATCCTTTAGCTCCTGGCTCAGGAGAAAATCCTGTCTCAAAAGCAAGGTGAAAGGGCTGTAGAGATGGCTCATCAGCGCCATCTTGTCCTTACAAAGGCCCTGAGTTTACTTATCAGCACCCACACAGTGTCTCACCTTGGTCTGTAACTCTGGCTCCAGGGCATCACTTGTCCTCTTCTGACCCGGAGCACCTAGCATACATGTGATACACATATATCCATACAGATAAAACTCTCCCAAATAAAATAAGGAGGCATGATGGCAGGCATGGCGTGGTGCTGGAGAAGCAGTTGAGAGCTTCCTCCTGATCTGCAGGCAGAGCGGGGATTACCTGGCCGGGATCTTTGAAACATCAAATCCCACCCCCAGCCACACTTCCTGTAGCAAGGCCACACCTACTAATCCTTCCAATGCTTTCAAACTGTCTGGTCCCTGGTGAGTAAGCATTCAAATGTATGAGCTGATGAGGGCCATTCTTATCCAAACCAGCACTGAAAAGACACCCACTGTCAATCCCCAGCCTCCACATGCAGGTGTATACACGTGCACCTGCACACAGGGAACATGTCCACACATGAAAGAAAAAATAAGTATCATGAGGTAATGAACATTATGGTTACACGTATTGGTAGTCTTCATCAGTGTTGAAAAATTAAGTACTGGCCAGTAAATAGCATCCTATAGATTACACTCACCTTCATGACTGCCAGCTGGAGCTGAGCCAAACACCTGTGACAGCATGCCAGTGTTCTAAGAATCCCAAGTGATGGAGAGGGGCCTCGCCCAGTGTTTGGGTCTCCCCCATTAGATAGTACAGAAAAGATCCCAAAGGCTTGGGACTAGACACCTTAGAATACCTTCATCAGTAGTTGTGGACACCTGGTGCTAGTGATCACCAAGAGTCTAGAAGCTACAAATGAGGAAGCAAGTTCTGTCCTGTTGTATTACAAACAAAGGTTAGGGTTACAAGGGTGAGGTTGGGAACCCTGAGCAAGGTAAAACAAGGCTTTTAAAGCTGGATAGGAGATGAGCAAGTGACAAGAGAAAGCACAGGATTCCAAGTCAGTGCTTGCAGGCTGCCTGGCTCCTGTATGTATGTATGCATGCATGCATGTATATATGTATTATGAAAAACATACACAAGACAGTGTCGTCATTTCACGGAGTCTCGCTTCTAATGCAGCTGTCCATACAGACTGCAGGATGGCTTCGGACAGAAAGCTCCACCTACTCCAGAATCGGTCATCGAGTAGATGAGGAGGTGACACGAGGGGACCAGTGAGAACGACAGCCTCTTCTGGTCACTGTGATGTTAGCTATCACTAGACAGTGGAGGGAAAGGCCTGTGATAAACTGCAAGCTGGCCTCGTAAGTAAGGGGAATGAGCATAGGCGGATAAGCAGCTAGACCTGTTCAAGGACACCTGCAAAGTCAGACAAGCAATGCCTGTCAGAACTAATGACCAGGAGTCCAAGATGGACAAAGCAAGTCAGAGACAGGCAGAAGAGGGCCTCAGATTGTGACCACTCCCTACCTGAGCATATGTGTGTGTCCATGATCATCTCTCAGGCTGGCTCGGGGCATGGGCTCTGTACTGGCTCAGCTTATGGTATGCTGAGCATTAACCAATCTGGATGGAAATTTTCTTTTTTTTTTTTTTAAAGATTTATTTATTCCTTATATATACAGTGTTCTGCAGGCCAGAAGGGGGCACCAGATCTTACTACAGATGGTTATGAGCCACCATGTGGTTGCTGGGAATTGAACTCAGGACCTCTGGAACAGCAGGCAGTTCTCTTAGCCACTGAGCTAGCTCTCCAGCCCTGGATGGAAATTTTCTTTGTCTAGTTTGTGCCACGAGAAGAAAAGAGCAAGCAAAAAAGCAAGCAAGCAGGAAGCAAGTGTGCACCCCTAGACAGACATCTCAATGAATTTCCTTCCCTTGCATCCCCTTAGAGCTAATCCAACCTTTTTTGGGTGGCCTTTTGAGCTGTGCTTGCTACTCAGAGCTCTGCTCTCTGCAATCTTTCTTCTTTAAGCTTCTCTCTATAATACTACCTTGTAAACTTGCTCTTCTTACTTTCTGTGAATTTCATTCTTAGACTTTGGGAGGTAAGGACTCATGCCATTGACTCAAATAAGTTTTGTGTGACCCTGAGCATTCCAGGACTCTTCACACCAGAGTAGTGCACACCTGAAGCAGAATTTCTCCTTCACACTTGAAGACAGCCCTTCATTATGACCTAATAGTTTGGGGCAAATACTTCCCCTTTGTTTTAATTTACAGATTTTTGCTTTCCTTGGCCTTTTAGCTGAGATAAAGTATGTCGCTCTTTATCAAAGCTGTAGATGAGGCTCTAAGACCAAAGGTGCTCTCCCTGAAACTTCTAGGATCTGGTGTTCAAGAACAAAAAAAAAAAAAAAAAAAAAAAAAAGGACTAGGGACACACATGGGTATTGATAGAAACAGGAAACAGTATTAAGTAAGAAAAAAGCACTCCCCAGAATGGAAGTGGGCTAGAGAGGGAGGAAACATCTTTCTAGGTCATTTGCATATATAGCACCTGCCTTCTAAGGATCCCAGGGGCTCTTGAATACCCTGTTACTCGTAGCTAGAGATTGTGCTTCCCAGCCCTACTCTGTCATTCTTTCATAATGATCTTGCTTCCTCTCCCCTCCCCCACTCTCCCACCACATTGATAATGACCTAGTAATATTAGTTTAAAGGAATATGAAGGTGAGAAAGAGTGTGATACAAGTCAGTTTTGTTTTTATAATGGTGGGGGAAGAGAAGTCAAATGTTAAAAACTGTAAACAGTGATTTGTCTTTTAAAAATGTACCTTCTAGTGCTGAGCTCCAGCACTCAGAAGGCGGAGTTCAAGGCCAGGCTGGTCTACAGGCCAGCCTAATCTACAGAGCAAGTTCCCAGGATAGCTACAGCTACACCTGTCTAGAAGAAAATTGTGTGTGTGTGTGTGTGTGTGTGTGTGTACCTCTGCTCTTTTGTAAAGAGAAGTCAACTGTAGCCTCGAATCCTTCTTGCTCCCCAACGACAGCATGTTCCATTGAAAAAACTTGTTTACAGCATCGGCAGTGCTGGAGGTCCTGCACCCTGCTCCCTTCCACCTCGTTGACTTTTCCTGTAGCGTTTCATTTACCCATGTGTCAGGACGATTTGTGAGAACGGTGCACGTTGCCTTCCACACAGCTCCCCCTCCCCTTCCCGTCCTTTTCCTTGTACAATCCTCTCTCCCATATTTGCTCAGTGCTGCCATCCTCAGCAGTGAGAAGTTCCTTCCATCACTTCCCAGGCTTTCTTCCCTGCATGGCCTCTTCCTATCTGCCAAGTCAGAACTGGATTAACAAGGCCCCGGTTCTTACTTTCATGCCTTACAAACAAACAATGAGAAAGTTAGCCTCCTCTCCCTGCACAACAGACTCCTCCCCCCTCCCAGGTTTTAACTAAACATCCTAAAACTAGAATGGAAAGAAGAGAAGACAGACAGGGAATACCCAAAAAGAGAAAGTCTTGCTAGATGTTAGACTGTTCGACTTTTTATATTTACTGTTTTATGTGTATGAGTGTTTTGCCTACAAGTCTATCTGTGCATCACTTCCAAGCCTGGCTCATGAGGAAGCCAGAAGGCGGCATCAGTACCCTGGAACTGGATTCACAAATGGTTGTGAGCAGCCTACTGGTGCTGGGGATCAAATCCAGGTTCTCGCAGAAAGAACAGCAAGTGCTCTTGATTACTGAGCCATTTCTCCAGCCTCTAAGTTCTCAATCTTTTTTTCTGGATCGAACCAAGGCCTTGCACTTGCTAGACAAGCACTCTACCACTGAGCTAAATCACTAACCATCAACTTCTCGGTTTTTAAATTGAAAAAAAAAAACAAAACTAAAAGTAGTGTAACAGTCACATTCAATATGTGTTATTATTAATTCCAGGGATTGTATGACTACTTGTGTGTGTGCATGAACATATATCTGAGATCAACCTCAGGTGTCCTTCATCAGATGCTGGTCACCTTGTTTTTTGAAACAGGGTTTCTTCATTGTCACTGCTTAGGCAAGGTTGACCGAGGGACCCTGAGCCTTCTACCTCTCCAGTACAAGGATCACAAGAACACATTACCACAACAGTGTTTGGGGGTTTTGTTGTTGCTGTTTATTTGTTTGTTTGTTTTGTTTTTAGGTGGGCTCTGGAGATCAAACTCAGGTCTTCGTGTTTGTAGGGAAAACACTTCACCGACCTAAGAATCCCCAGTCCTGAGGATAAATCAAACATTTACCCGTGATTTTTTTTATCTGAAAAAGAGGGGGATCTTAGTTGGCCCTATGGCGTTGCCACATCCCAGTACCCAACCCGTAGGCTGAGGATGGATTGGATAAGTAGCTCAAGATGCTTCACATAGTCTTCTAGATATGCGCTCGTAGTTTGCTCCTTGAACTAAAGGAAGTTGAAGGAGTTTAGGTCATCACCTGGAAACTCATCCCTCCTGGGGAGCAGAACCGGAGTTAGAACCATAGGCATTTGACCAGCACCAGGGCAGCTTCTGTCTCTCGTTCCCTCTCTTCTTGGTGGAATTCAAATAAATGATAAGGACTGATTCGTAATAGGCAAAAAGACAAATATTGAAACTCATGGGTTGGGCTCATAGTTCATAGCTTCTTAGGTTTTCTGTTGCTCTAAAGAGACGCCATGACAACAGAAACTCTTATACAGAAAAACATTTAGTTGGGATGGCTTACATTTTAGAGGTTTAGTCCACTATTGTCATGGCAGGTGACATGGCAGCATGCAGACAGGCTTGGTGCCTGGGGAAGGAGATGAGAGTTCTGCTTCTTGATCTGCAGGCAGCAGAAGCAACTGTGTGCCACGCTGAGTGTACCGAGAGCATAGAGGACCTCAAAGTCCACCCCACAGTGACCCACATCCTCCAACAAAGCCACACCTCCCAATAGTGCCACTTCCTCTGGGGCCATTTTCTTTCAAACCACCATGACAGCCCTCAGTGACGTGTCTTCTTATTACTTACAATGCACTTCTTTGTGCTTCTTTTCGTGTTTTTTCTAACTGTGTAGATGTTTACTGGGATGTAGAGATCTTGGATTCAAATAAGTGCTTGTTTGAAGGGCTAAGTTAATCTAGGTATGTGATATTTTATTTGAAAGTTTTTACAATAAAGTGATCTTCATTAAAAATTAAAATGGGCTGGAGAGATGGCTCAGTGGTTAAGAACTTTGGCTGTTCTTCCAGAGGACCTGGGTTCAATTCCCAGCAACCACATGGCAGCTTACAACTGTCTGTAACTCCAGGAGGACCCAACACCCTCACACAGACACACATTCAGGCAAAAAACAAACAACAACAAACAAAATTCACATAAAACAAAAGTAAATAAATCATTTTTAAAAAATGTAAAGTAAAATTTTTGACAGTGTCTCCCTGTGGTACCCCAGCTGGAAGGCAACTTGGTATGTAGATCAGACTGGTCTGGAACTTAAAATAACCCTTCTGCCTCTGCCTCCCAGGAACTGGAATTACAAGTGCAGACCACTATGCCTGACTTCTCAAGGCTCTGTGGGTGTTTTGTTTTGTTTTGGAAGAAATCCATCTTTGCATTTCCATTCGTTGCTGACATATTACAACTTAAAGTTTAAGAAACCATAAATTAAAAAAGTAATATTAATTGTTAACACATATATGGTGTTTCCTTCTGCTAAGTTCTATTCTGAGCACTTCACGAATGTAACGAATTTAATTGCTATGACAATCCTATGACTCTGCAGCTATTATTGCCTTTTCAACAGATCAGGATATTGGCAAAAAGTTGTTCTCTTAATTTATTTTACATCCTGGCCACAGTCCCCCCCCCCCAACTCTCCTCTCCCCACTCCTCAACACATACACACTCTGTGCCCCTCCACCCTCTCCCCTAATCCATTCCTCTGTTTCTGTTCAGAAAAAGCCAGGCTTCCCATGAGCATCAACAAAGCATGGACTATCAAGTTGCAGTAAGACTAAGCTCCTCCCCTTGTATTATGGGGACAAGGCAATCCAGTGTGAGGAATAGGGTCCCCAAAGCCTGCCAAAGCATCAGGGACAGCAGGTAGACCACAACCATCACATACATGTTAAGGGCCTACATCAGCCCCAGGCAGGCTCCCTGGTGGTTGGTTCAGACTCTTTGAGCACCTATGAACCAGATTAGTTGATTCTGTGGGTTTTCTTGTGATGTTCTTGACTCCTTTGGCTCCTACAGAGTCCTCCTCCCTCTCTTCTGCAGGATTCCCCGGGTTCGGCACCCCCGTATTTGACTGTGGATCTCTGTGGGCTCTGTGGGTCTCCGTGGGTCCCTATAGACCTCTGTGGTCCCTGAAGTTCAATAGATTCTTACCCTTGAATATGAGAATGGTTGATCCTTTCTTCTCAAATCGGAATTATAGGCAGGATAAATTTGGTGATATTTTTAAAACTAATACAGAGATGGCAAGATGACTCGGGATAAAGACACTTGCCATGCTCACCCTGAGTCCGGTACCTGGAACCCATGTAAGGTCGAAGGGGGACCAGCTTCACAGGCTGTGCTCTGACTTCTCACGTGTGCCCTGGCACACACATCCACACACACACCATCCATTCACATAATCATATGTTAATATTTGAAAGGACATGGAACTCTGCTCTATGATTTGAGGGTCACTAAGAGTCTGTGTCTCACTGCATTCTGACACATGTCAGATGACCCAGAAGACAAGTCAGTTTCATTGATATACATAGACTAAACTGAAAAAATGTGTTTATTAGGAGGAAATAAGTATTGTTGACATTAATTTTTTTTACTAGTCTCTAACTAGACTAACTGGCCTTTTTTGTTTTTATTTTTGATTTTCAAGGCACGGTTTCTCTGTGTAATAACCTTGGCTGTCCCTGAACCTGTTCTATAGAGCTCGAAATGACAGAAATCTGCCTCCCAAGTGCTGGGATTAAAGGTACGTGTCACCACACCTGGCTCAAGGTAGGCCATTTTGTCCTCACTTGCTCGGTGAGGAAACTGATGTTCTGAGTCTTTGCTGTCGTTTGCTGCCTATATCAGATTAATTAGTCACCTAGCAGCAGAGTCCTATGTAATGGAACACAAGATAAGGAAACTTCCATCAAAGGAGGCTAGAGAGACACATATACAACTCAGTAAAGGACCAGGTCACCAAGTGACTGGGTGAGCACTGTGGTCACCTCCCATGGGCTTCTCTCCCCAAGCCCCACTTCTTATCGGGTCCCTTTTCCTCATGAGCCACACAGACATAAACAACAGAACTTCATCCAGCTCAGGCTGACCTGTCCTCCGTCATGTGATCCAGAGCAAGGCTGCACACCTAAGCCACCCTAGGGCAATTGGCACCTCGCCAGACGTGTTTGGCAGGAACACCGACAGACAAACGCAGCCTCAGCCCAGTTGGTATGTTGAGTGGAGGAAATAAAATCGCAGGAACTTTGCGCGGCCATGCTCTCTGCTGTGGAAAAGGTAAGGTGGAAAAGTAGTAAGCCAATTTGCCAAATGTACCAAATGAGGCAGATTCAGGACGGAAAAGGGTAAAATGGGTGTCCATTAAGTGTAAATGTATCATTTACTACAGAGGGGGAGCTGATTTCATGCCCTTGGTTGTTTCTGCTTCCTCAAAGTGGACCAAAGTGACTTTCTGATATCTGTATTCTGCAGCATCCTTAGTAATGAAGGGGCCAGAATCCAAGAAAGACCTGGAGGGCAGGGGTCATGATAGAGACAATGCTGTCTGCTCCTCCTCCCAACCAGCACTGGGGACCAATGCAGGGTCTGCAGCATGCTGACAAGCATGCCTGCCCGTGGCTATGCTCCAGCAGTGCTGCTTGCTTCTTAGCACAGACAGAACCCACTAGCAGTGGAAGAGCTGTGCTGTGCAAATAGAGCTCCTTCCGTTTAAAAGAATCACGCACTCAAGTGTCCCACGCCACACAAGGGTCAGCAGCTCGGTGGGCAGCACAGTGCACAGGCCCCACCGTCAGTGCAGGAGACGCCTACATCTAAGAAGAGGCATGAGGGCCAGAGGGAGAGCTCGAAGCCAAACACGCTTGCTGCTCTTGCGGAGGACTGAGTTCGGGTCCCACCACCCATACTGGGTGACTCACAACTGCCTGCCACTGCTCAGCTCCAGCTCTGATGGTCTCCTCTGGCGTCCACGGTCACCTGCATGCCTGTGAACATATGTACAAACAGACATACACCAAAATAAAAATAAAACCTTGTAAAAATAAAAGGGACACAAATATCCTGAAATATTTTATATTCTGTGCCAAAGGCAAAAGAAATGGGGTGTTGTGTTTTTGAGCATCTTTTGATTTTCTTTGAAAAGTGGGAGTTACAGAACCCACTACGGGGTAGCTGTGCACTAACTGACCGAGGACCCCAAACTCTTACTCTGTGCATAACTTAGGAAATGAATAATGTGGGGGTCCTGGGCTTGTGCCCTCCAAACCCATGGTGGAGTTCCTAGCCTATTGGGAGGATTGGGAGGTACTAAAAACCCTGCAGTGTCTATGGGACCTTTGGGAGGGGGTCTAGGCTTAAGTTTGAGTACTGATGGCTTCATAAGACAAGAGGAAGGAACCAGGAAACACAATCTATGTCCTCTCGTCTCTTCCCATGTAGAGAACTCTGCCATCAAGAAGGCTATCTTCTCAACCGGATGCTCTTGGCCGGAATATGAGACAAAAGAGATATATCACCCTCCCCCATACTTCCCCTCCCCCTGGCCGAGAGTTTGCTTTGTGGACCAGGCTGGTCTCAAACCTGCGGCAGTTCTTGTGCCTCCTGCTCCCGAGTGCTGGAATTAGGTGTGTATTATCACGTTCAGCTAAAAACCCTTTTTCTTTAAGACGTTCCCAGCCTGTGGTATTGTGTTATTAGTAACGGGGTATGAACTGATAGAGATGGCTTTCTAAGAATTACTAGCAAAACCAACAAAAAGGAAGAGAAAAGCGGTAAAGTAAAAGAGAGAAAAAGGGAGGGGGAGAGGGAGAGAGAGAGAAGGTATGGGGTGGGGGTAAAGTCACTTTTCTGTTTACGTGCAGGCACAGGTGTGGAGGCCAGAGATCGACCTCAGGTGTGGTTCCTCCGGCGCCATAGGAGCTCGCTTTTTGAGACGGGATCCCCTGCTGATCGGAAACTTGCACAGTAGGCTATCCTGACTGGCCAGGAGGCCCTAGTGATTTCCTCTCTCCCCTCCCCAGCCCTGGGATTACAAATAAGCCCTCCCCTGCCCAGCTTTTTTATATGAGTTCTAGGCTTCAGACTCATACTTATGTAGCAGGCATTCTCTCATGGGCCCTGCGAAACCACTTTAAAGAAATAAAATTATTTTCTTCTCAGAGTGAAATTTAACTCATTGTTTTAACAAATTCACAAAATGAACGTGCCCCTCAGAAGGCATAGTTCAGTCTGCAAGGCCAGGAATGTCATCTCAACTGTGGAAATCCAAGAAGCAAGCCCAGTTTCCTCAGAAAGCAAATTGTGTATTTGACTTCCCTTATTCTAACTTGCCCACAAAGCAGCTTTCTTGTTGTAACGGGGCTTCCCAAACCACTTGTGTGTGAGGAGATTCCACATTAATGCAAATGTTCTAGCTCCTTTGCTAACTGTAAACAAATCCGTGACGTGAGGCTTATGTGTTCACAGTGCTATGAGTTTGGTTAACGTGAACCTCGTCACAGAGCAGATTCAATCTTGTTTGTTGACAAAAATCGGGTGTTCAAATCTACAAGGCAATAAGCCAGGTCCTAATTAACTCCTAGAATTCCGGCTCCATCAGGCCCTTGGCAGATGCCCAAAGACCTCCCCACCAACTCCCTGACCTGTCTCAGGGACATATGCTCAAATTAGTGTTTCCTAATAAAGCAGCAGGAAGGGAAACGAGATTCTAGATGTATTCTAGAAGGTCCTAATGAGAGCATAACAACAGAGAGGGATGGTCAGATCCATGCGTTCACTACAATGGATGGCACCGTGTGCATCCCAGATACTCAGGAGGCTAAGACTGAGACTTGCTGAGCCCAGACACGTGAGGCCAGCTGGGTTAACATAGCTTTAACCAGAAGAAGGCAGAAGAGGAGAAGGGGAGGAGGGAGAAAGAGGAAGGAACCTTCCTGGATCAGCAGCAGCGGGGAAACGCTGGGGAACAAGCCCCTCAACCTTCGTAAGGAAAGTGTTTGCTGAAACCTTACTTGCTGATAGAGTCGGAGAGCCCATGTTTTAGGTGTGTGTGTGCGCGTATGTGGAAGCTAGATGAAAATGTCAGGAGCAGGCCACCTTGAATCTCTGAGACCGCTTTGGATGCACCAAGCAGGCAGTGAGCCTCTCTCTCCAGCCTGCGTCACTATATCCTCCTTTAAAAAACAAAACAAAATAAACAAACAAACAAACAAAAAACTGGAGTCTGGAAATAGAACTCAAGTTCTCACGCTTGGAAGGCAAGTACTCTCCCGACTGAACAAACTTCTCAGGCCCATTTTAAATATTTTGAAACTCACTATGTTGCCCAGGCTGGCCACAAACTCCTGAGCTCCTCTCCCAGACCTCAGCTTCCTGAGTAGCAGAGAGAACAGGTGTGCACAACCACACCCAGCTAAAACCCGATGTTTTTAAATAGAGTGTTTCATCTAGATGTCCTCCCACTCCACCCCTACAAAAACACCTATCGAGTTTCCAATGCAACATCTTTCAAAATGTGATTTTCCCAGAATCCCTCAAGGAACACATTAAAAATATGAATTTCTAACCGGGCATTGATGGCACACACCTTTAATCCCAGCACTTGGGAGGCAGAGGCAGGCAGATCTCTATGAGTTAGAGGCCAGCCTGGTCTACGAAAGCTAGTGTCTGGACAGGCTCCCAAGCTACAGAGAAACCTGTCTTGGGGGGGGGCGGGGGTGGACAAATACAAACAAACAAAAAATGAATTCCTAGCATGTCAGAACTTCCAGATTAGAACCTCCGGGGTCAAGACGCCAGAATCCACCCTTCTAGTTAGCTCCAGGTACCTTTCTGCCCCTAAACTGGAGAGACTCAGCACTAAGTGAAGGGTAAAGAAAAGGCAGAGAACCTTCTCTTCCTGCAGTCAGCTGCAGCAGGCCTAAGCACAGGCCCTGCAGACAGAGCCAGACTTACCTGAGGGTATAGGCAGCTCTACCTCCCGCTTCTGCTGAAGTTAAGTCGCCCCAACAGCAATCTGTTACACTTGTTCGCAGAACTGGGAAGTTAAGTCAAAAGAGAATATTCATTCTCCCCTTCTACACTAGCTTACCTCCCTCACAGCAGCCGAGCTGCCCCAACCTTTTCTTGGAGTAGAAATGTTCCAGAGATATGAATATTTCCCCAGATAATATTGAAACTCTTTTCTAAACAAGTCCATAGAAAAATAAAGAACTAGCGGAGAGTGTGGTGGTGCACGCCTTTAATCTGGAGGCAGAGGCAGGTGAATCTCTTGAGTTTGAGGCCAGCCTGGTCTACAGAGTGAGTTCCAAGACAGCCAGGGTTACACAGGGAAACCCGTCTCAAAAAACCAAAACTAAAGTAAACATAAAAAAAGTGTTCAAGCTAAGCTAAGCATAAAAAGATAAGAATAGAACAAAATTGTGGGGTTCAACCACAGGTGTGACGTGATCATCAAAGCGGCACTCTTGGGCTGTGGTGTATTTGCCTAGCAAAGTGACACCTGGGTTTGACCTTAGCATAGAAAAGAGGGGGAGAAAGGAAAGGTAAAACTTTTATTTCCTGGGGCTGGAGACATGGCTCAGCGGTTAAGGGCATTGCCTCTCTTCCAAAGGTCCTGAGTTCAATTCCCAGCAACCACATGGTGGCTCACAACCATCTGTAATGAGGTCTGGTGCCCTCTTCTGGCCTGAAGAATACACATAGAAAGAATATTATATATATAATAAATAAATAAATATTAAAAAAAAAACCCTTTTATTTCCTATGTGTTTTCTAACATGGAAAAAAGGAATATCATATTCATATTGTTGTTTGGCAAGTGAAATGTGAATAGAAAAATCAAGGAAACATAAGGGCTGGGTAGATATCTCAGTGGGTAAGAGTGGTTTTCTGTGCACATACAAGGGTCTGAGTTCTGATCTCAGCACCGTCTAAAATCTCAGATGTGGCCACTCACATCTCTGTAAACCCAGGGCTGGGTGATGGGGACAGGAGGGTCAGTGGGGCTTTTGGCTACCTCCAGGTTCAGTCTCAAAGGGATGAAATGGAGAGTGACCAAGCACAATACAGACTTCTTATCTGACTTCTGTGTCTGTACACACGTGTATACACCGCATGCATACATGCACTCACATAAACCGATCACTTAATACGAAAAAAATCTTGCTAATAATAAATCAGCATTTTCCCATCCCCGTTGACTCGGTAGTTTTAGAATTCATTTGAACAAAGTTAGTGGACAAGTAACACTGGCATGATTTCCCACACAGAAAATCAGAGATGTCCTCATACAAAACACATCACTCTCAATGTTCGAAACCCCTCCTCTAACAGAAACCACCCTGACCATAGTCTCTTGCTGAGTAAAGAATGACATCCTGAGCCATAGGATGACCAGCCTGCACTTTTTCTGACCCAGAAAGCCTGGCTAAATGGCTGTGTTCAGCCAACCAGACTTCCTCTTAATGAGCTAATCATGAAAGACAGTTAACTGGAATTGGTCTCTCCTTTCTTTCTCTACGCAGGTGCGTGTTTATATGAGTCTGCACTCTTGTGGGTACCCATGTGAGCATATGCACTTAAAGGCCAGAGGTCAACTTCAGCATCATTCTTCAGGAGCTGGGCAGGGCTGGCTGCCCAGGGAGCCCGGGGAGCCACCTGTCTCCTACTCTCCAGTGGTGAGACCCCAAGTCCTGACATTTGTATATGGGTGCTGGGCGTGGAACCCCATCCTCACACTTGTTTTAGCGTGCACGTCACCCATCAAGCCGTCTCCCTAACCTGAAACATACCTTTTTAATAAATAATTTGTATATTTACTAATGTACAAGTAAAAATACTCACCCAGTTAGTAAAATAGTTACTTGTAAGTGTGCCTACTATGTGTGTAAAATTTACCAAGGAAAGTATTAAAAGCACTGTCCTTTTACCCATCCACCTCTCCGTCTCCATTAGCATTGGTGTGTGCTCAGCCTATGCGTTTGATGGACAGTATGGGACATGGTGGGATGATGAGGTCTTCTACTCATGAGGTTAACTGTCCTGGATTTTTAGATTCACTCAAACTGGCCTCTGTAGGAAATGAATGTTGGTTCTGTACTCAAATCAGAAGCTAGGTCGCTAGTGAACAGACTTCTTTGCACAGGTAATATAGATTTTGAAGAAACCACATGGGCTCATTAAAAGTTAATAAAAATGTGAAATTAATACCCTGAACTTCCTTCAGCCAGCTTGTTGATTTTGAAAAAATCAGCCTGTCAAACAAAGCTCTATATAATGTTTACTTCATGTGTTTCGGTACCCCTCTCTTGAAGGGACAAGGGACAGGCGTTCAGTGTTCAATATTTAAATATCTGACATATTCAAAAATAGAAAGAATAAACACTATGCCGCCATAATTTTAAGAACGTGGAGAACTTGCTAATGGATGTTAACATTTACTTAGCTGTAAACACTTGTCTGTGTTGAGGAACCCTCCCAGAGCCATTCATGAAATACACACAGTAGAGATCACACCCAGCCAAAGTAAATAGAAAAGAAGTGTCCAGCTCCCAGCCGGCCTCTGCGGCCTCACCCGCGGTGCCACACCTGCTCAGGGCCCCTTGAGACCTCTTCCTTTCCTTGAAGCTCCTCTGCTGTCCCTCTCCAAGTCTGTCTGGCTTCCAGAAAATACCAGCTACCAGAAACATGCCATTGGTCAGCTGTGTCAGACCTCTGCCTTCTGGATTGGCGTGTGTGTGTGTGTGTGTGTGTGTGTGTCTGTCTGTCTGTCTGTCTGTCTGTGTGCCACGGGATTGGGCATGAGGGTGGGAGTAAAGCCAAAATCAATATCAAATATTTTCCCCAATCACTTCTCCAATGTTTGTTCGTTTGTTTGTTTTTCAGACAGGGTCTCACTATGTAACCCTTGCTGGTAGAACTCTCTCTGTAGATCAGGCCTGCTTCCAACACGTGGACATCCTCTTGCCTCTGCCTTCTTGTAGGGTAAAAGATCCAAGCCCATTTCCAGGTTTGAAAATCTACCAAAACACACCAATCCTTGAGCACAAAATGCCATCAATCCCCGGATTTGGCCTGAAACCTCACCAATCCTCATCCTGGAAATCTTCACCCAGGAAAACCCCTCCCCAACAAAAACCCTGTATAAATAAGCCTGCCTTTTGCTAAATTCTCTGCGGCTTCTCCCCAGCAGAGGCAACTACCCTCCTGTGTCTTTCCTGATGAATCTCTTGTGGGAGGTTTGGTGTGCAGTGTGACTTTGTGGTATCCCTTGGCTCCCGACTGCCAGGATACCTTTCCCCTCAGAACTGTGACACAGAGGAGAAACCTGTCTCTTCAGAGCTGCAACCCTCCCATTGAGGAAGCCTTTCCCGAGAACTGCAACACTTACACTCCTGAGTACTGGGTTAAAAGTGCGTGCCACCATGTGCACCCCACCTTACTGTAGCCCTGACTGTCAAGTTGGAGACTAAGCTGGCCTCGAACTCACAGAGTTCTGCCTGCCTCTGCCTCTTCCTCCAAGTGCTAGGATTAAAGACATGGGCCACCACACCGAGCTTCACCTTACTTTAAAGACATATTTCACTGAACCTTAAACTCACTGGTCCCAGGAATCCTCCTGTTTCTCTCTCCTCAGTGTTGGGCTTGCAGACACTCGCCTTGGGGCCCAACTTCTTTTACATGTGTTCCGGGGAAATGATTTTGGGGCCTGACACTTTTGTGGCAGGAACTTCACCCACTGAACCAGCTCCCCAGACCTTGCTTTTGAAATCGTAGCGGGCACCTTTGTGGGGAACGATATTTGATTCATCAAGGATGTCCTGAAGAAAGGCCAGCCACTCATCTGGGCTGGAGTCTTTTCTTAGACCATGGAAGAGGTTCATACACAAAGCAAAGAGAGCTCCCACCTGAAGAGGATCCTGTCTGGGGAGGGGTTTCTAATAAAGAGCTGCGTATGATTGTTGGTTGAGAGTCCTCGGTATTCCCTTCATAAAGGCTTGTGGGAATGGTTTGTTTGTTTGTTTTTTGTGGGGGTGGGGACAGTTACTTTGTTTCTGTCCTACAGGTCTAGATGATTGCGACTAAGCTTTTCTCCAAAGTTCCTTAGCTCTGTTGTTCCTTTCATAGACCATCTCCCAGCAACAGTTAGATGTTGTTTCTACCCAGGGATGGTTGTATTTCCTAAAAATAAGTTTTCCATTGCTCATTTCTTCCACAAAGAGGAAAGAGGAAAGGGAGGCAGGAGAGAGACGTCCAAGGCAGAAGGAAAAGACTGGAAATGGTAGCTAATGTATTATTTATTGGTCCCTCTTACATGTGAATGTAAGGACAATGTCCACCTTGTAAACACTAAGAAAATTTTCAGGGCTGGGGGTGGGGATCTCTCAAGAATGTCAAAGGAAGGCTTGTGGTACAAGAGTCTCAGAAAGAAACAAGACAAGGTCTCACTGCATCCTTTCATGTTCTCCATACAATATAGTGAGATAATCTGGTCAAAGTCACTTCAGGGTGGGGGGTCATAAAGAGACTTGTAACTGGAACCAACCGGAAAGTCTGCAGGCTCTCGGTGGCCTAGTGCAACCTGTTTTTCTTCAGTTATATGTGGTACTGGACCTGAATTCTGTCTGTGTCCCGATATTTAAACCACCAAAGACTCTGATTGGATCCAAATGTAGCTCGCTATATCAGGCCATTGCTATGTCAGACTCCCAGACTCTGGGTGACCCCTTGCCTGACCTGTTGGAATAGCAGAGTTTGTCATGGAGTAGCACGACAAGCCCTTCAGTGCAGAGCCGAGGGTGTGGGTCAGCAATGCAGCATTGGCCATTGCCTAAACCTGTGCAGAGCCCTGGTTTTGACCCCCAGCAAGGCAATAAAACGTTTTTTAAAAGGAGTTTCTCCAGGGGGGATACACTGGACGCGTCTGTTTACTGTGAAGGAACGAGACAGAAAAGAAAAGAATCCCTCCCGTTTAAACCTTTAGGGTGCCTTGCAGCGCTGGAGTGAGTCAGTTCTCAGCTTTGCGACATCTCAGACTTACCACTCTGAGCATCAAGACTGTGTATAGAAAGAGGGGAATGTGTGGAGGCTTTTTAAGTTGTTTTGTGTAGTTCTTCAGGTTGCTGTGGTATAAAAATCTGCCAGAGAAAATTCTCCAAAACCATATCTTCCATGGGACTTGGTCCAGTTCCTTTACATGGTAGTCTCGAGAAGATATTTAGCTGGGCGGTGGTGGCACACACCTTTAATCCCAGCACTCAGGAGGCAGAGGCAGGCAGATCTCTGTGAGTCTGAGGTCAGCCTGGTCTACAGAGTGAGTTCCAGGACAGGCTCCAAAGCTATGAAGAAACCCTGTCTCAAACCTCCCATTCAAAAAAAAAAAAGATATTTAGTCTTGATAATACAAAATTTGATATAGTCAGTCTCTCTGCAAATCCAACACATAAGCAATATTTCCTAGCTGGTAAAACCCTAAAATCCTAATTTGTTTGCAGTGATTTAACCCCACATTCTGCCGTTTATCTAGAATTTTTGGAGGTCTCAGGAATGTTTTCTAGTTTGGCTTTTTTTTTTTATTCACATGTGATCGGCAGAGGACTGCTTGCTGGAGAAGTTCTCTCCTTCCACCGTGTGGATTTGAGGGATCAAATTCGGGTCAGGCTTCCCAGCAGGCACCTTTACCCACTGAGCCAGCTTACAGGCCCAGAACTGTCTTAAATGAAATGAAAACCAACCAGTCTTAGGTGTGAAGAAGTAGGGGTCCAGCCTCTTTCTTCCATTTTAGCCCTTGCCCTTTGCTCCCATTCAGAAACCAGGGAAGCCTCTGTGACCCAGAAATCTAGATAGGCTGCCCTCTGCCTGGGTCTAAGAGATGCCCTTTGGAGCCAATCGATGTGGCCAGAGGCCATCAGTCCCGACTGGTAGCCCTTCTCTGCACCAGGAGGATGACAACCGTGGTGCACAGATCCTTATCATTAAACCAACACAGCCGGGCTGCCCCAGGGACAGCTTATTCCTGGTAGAGCATTTCCTGCCCCTTCTTACTTTGTCGCTTTGATAAGCGTGCTAGTTTTTTTATTCCACCTTGACTGAGCACTGGAGATTTCTAGTGCCTATCAAAGAGATCAGTGTGCTCAACAGCTGTGCCTCCAAGAAAAATATGGATTTGATTCAAGTATAACTTTTGGGTAAGCAGGGATCATGAATTGAGCCAGAAGACATAGCCCGGGATGGTGCTGTCTCCAGTCTGTTTCTGCCTTTCTTGTTCCTCCTCCTCCTTTTCCCTGCCCCCACTTCTCCTCCCACTTTCTTCTTCCTCCATTAAACCTGAAAGCTTTCACTCAGAGGTTGCTCTTTTATTTGCCCTGGTCGCACCAGTCCCTGTCACTGGCTCCAGCAGACATTTTCATACCCAGGAATTAGTACCAACCACAATAACCAGCTCCCCTGGCTCTCCTCGGCTCTGCAGACCTAGGCTGAGCTTCTGTTTCTTCGGGCTGAACAAACAACCTGGGCACCCATGACAGCTCCCCAGTTTTGTAGCCAGAGCCCACTCTGGGGGTGACACTTGGTGGGACCCCAGAGCCAGGCCACACTAACTTCCCTGTACGCTGTTTCTAGATAGCAAGAGCTCTCCGTAAACACGTGTGAAATGCCCATGCTGCCTTCAGTGGTGAACAAGGATTCAGAAATACCTTCATGTCTCTTGACAGTGCTCAGTTTTCTAGCTGGCTCCTGAAGACTCATGTTTGTGTGTTCGAATCAAGCACATACACTGCCCGTGCAAGTGTTTCCTGCAGCTCTTTATCTGTCTACCTACCTTGTTTTCCTACAGTTCCCGCAGAAGTCCCCACATCCTGAGTCTGGATAGTTGTGCCGGCTGCATCTTTGTGTTCTCAGGTGCCACGTTCTGGTCCCCCTTAT